TTTATTTTTTTGTTTATAATTTTTATTTAAAGTTTTTGTATGAAATATAGAACTTGGCTCCACTTTTATAAAAAAGGTTCCCTTTTTTGAATATTTTGGGTCCTAATCTAAAAGAATGTGCTCTGTATTTTCTTATTTTCTTTTCTTCTACGTTTCTAAATATCTTTTTAGTTACATACAAATTCATATGTAAAATTTCGTGTATTACCCCGAGTATGTAGAATCAAAATTAACAAATAAATTAAACTTTATTTTTCTTAACATTATGGTTGTTCTTTGCTTTTTTTTTAATTTGTTGCATTTAAATTCCAACTTTTCTTTTATTTTCATTTTTTTTTCTGTTATTTTGCTCTATTATTTATTTTTTCTTTTTTCTAGTTTTCCCTTCTTTTAAAATTCTTTACAATTTATAGATAAGTTTACGCGTTCATATTTTTTCACTTTACTATTTTGAATGGTCTATTTCTAATAAGAACTCTATTTAGCTCTATGAATAGAATTTTCGTTTTTCTTTGGTATATAATTTTGTGTTTTTGAACTTTTATAGGGTATGCACAATTTAAAAATTCTCGAACTGTATTTTTGGACATAGAAAAACAGCAACAATAAAAAATCTGAGCAAAATAACAACTTATAAACAAAAATAGCTCTAAATGCTTTTAAATATATTAAAGTTTGAGGAAATAATACAACGATTTTAAATTTAAAATGAAGTTTCAGTAAAATGTGAAATTGGAAATATTATTTAAAATAGGATCTCCGGATCGTTATCATCTTCGGGATTTCAAATAAAAGATTTTAAAGGTCAGAAAGGTTTTTTCGAGAGCAATGGAAGACAGACGCACATTCTTGTTTTTAACTGCTAATTTATAACATAACACAATCAAACAGCTGGCAACACTGTCATCATCTTGAAAAATAAAGAAAATGATTTTTTAATGTGAAATTCTAATCATAGTTTATTTGTTTACGTTACATGATCTGTTTGTACTCTATTTTGTTCATAAACACATGCTTCTTTCATATAAGGAAAGCAACCAGACCAAAAATTGATAGTTAAAAGAGGAATAAAGAAAAATCAAGTTAAAATTATAAAGATTATGCTAAGAGGAAATTCTTATATAAAAACAATCTGAGAAAAAACTCCATCTTTTACACACTTTTCTTATATGTTTTGTATGCTTAGAATAACGAAAAATAAGAAATAATTAAAATAATATTTATTTCTTCTGCATTTCATACATGGAAGTTTTAAGAAATGCTATCGCGAGTTCACGCATAATCAATTATTGTATAACAGTACTGAAAGAGACTTTGCCTTGCCAAGAATTTAAGAACACAAAAAAAACTAAAAAAAAAATTGAGAAAAAAGTTGAGAATTGGTCAACCCATCATAAAAGCGTAGCAGAGAGACGAACGAAAATTAAGGGTTTTTCAATTTTCGATTTCTTTATTCTGTATTTTATATTTATATTGTAACCCATTATATGTTTTTCGCATTGTTTATTATTACTCTTCTTCATCTGATGTTGCTCTTTTATTCTTCGATAATAGATAAACTTTACCAGGGGAAAATATACGTCGTATATATACATATTTTGTATATGTATGCATACAAGTTGCATAAGAACGGTTGAATAAAGTTCATCGACATTAAATGTTTTTATTTTTTACCGACCGTATTGTGTATACAATAGGTAGGTTATGTGATGGCAACAGTAGTTATTCTAGGCCGAAGTTGGACCAAATTTTTGCGGTTTTATGTTTTGTCTCACTCTAACCAATGTAATTTTGTATGCTTTGTCCTTGTCTAGGTACGTGACTAGAATATGGGGGTACGTGACATGAATACTAATGAGGCTGTTAATTGCGGTTTTGTGGTTTAGCTAATTAGCATAAAGTACGTTTAGCTAATTAGCATAAAAGCAAGCTAATTAGCATAAAGTAAGTTTAACTAATTTGCATAATGTAAGTTAAGCTAATTTGCATAAAATAAGTTTAGCTAATTTGCATAAAGTAAGTTTATAAAGTGGGTTTAGGTATTTAGCATAAGGGGTGAAAAGAATGTATGTATGTATGTAATTGAATTGTTAAATCGTATGAAAGCGTGTACGATCAGTAGGTGGGTTAATTAGCATAAATCACGAAAATCATATGGAAAGTATATGTTGTAGTATGATATCATAATTCAATAATAAAATAATAAAAACAACAAGAATGAAACAAAAATATTAAGAAGGAATGTTTGTGGTTAAGTTAGTAGTATGAAAAAATAAAATCAAATTGTTAAATTATATGAAAGTAAGTTCGATTAGCAGGTAGGTTAATTAGCATAAATCGCGAAAATCATATGGTGAGTTAAAAACAACAAGAATGAAAATATTGAAAAAAGAAAATGTTTGGGAATTAGGTATAAACACAAATTTATATGTATGTATGTGCATATTAGTTTATGAATGAAAAGTTTTTGAATAAATCAAAGATCATTTAATGAATGAAATATGAAAAAGTAAGAACAACAAAACAATAATAAAAATTATATAATTCGTACTGAGCTTGATCAATAATTATATTGGTGTGTAAAAATTTTTTCACAATACATCATTCATAATAATTTTATGAATGAAAATTTTTGTATAAATTAAAATCAGAGAGCAGAAATAATATGTATATGTATTTATATATATAGCATGTGAAATATAAATTAGAAATCAGTATTTATGAATGAAATGATCATATATATTAATCATAAAATTCAGTATACATTTAATTATTTTTCTGATTTACATAATGACTATTGATAAATTTGGACGCTATAAGACAAATGTAACACATAAAATTCAGCATCCAACAGATTCTTCTTCTTCTCTTAGTTTCCCATTAACTGCTGATGGAAATTATGATCTTGCGAATAAACAAATAACAAATGTGGGCATACCTATTAATCCAACAGATGTTGCAATTAAAAGTTATGTTGATAATGTGTTAGATACCAAGGATTGGAATACATTGAACTCATTATTAGATTTTAAATCCAAAACAATTGAAGAAATCAACAAACAGTTGGATGATGCAAATAAAATTAATAAAGATTATATTGAAATAGCAATTGGCAAATTAGAGGATAGAATTAAAACTTTTATTGAAGATGAGATTCAAACCCGAAATAACTTTTTATGGAATAGTATAGAAGGTGAAATACAAAATCAATTAATTTTTTTCAATACACAATCTGCAAAAATTCTTGAAAATTTTGAACTTCGAATAAAACTTTTGGAAACTGGAAATTAAAATAGTGAGAACAATAAATAAGCAATTAAAAAATAAATTTATATATATTAACAATGGGTGTGGATAAGTTTGGACGTGTTAGTAAGTCAACGAAAGCACAAAAAGGAGATCGTGGACCACCTGGAGAAGGTTTTCGTTTAACATCAGATGGTGACTATGACATAAATTTTAAAAGAATTATTAATTTGAGTCAACCTATAGAAGGCAATCATGCAGTTTCTAAGAATTATGTTGATGAAATTTTGAAAAATGTTACTCTTGATATAAAAAAACAAACATCAAAAATGTTAAACACTAGAATGAATGATTATAGTACTACAATTAATGCTACTATAGGAGAATTGCAAAGGCATATAGGTGATTCTGAAATTAGTATGAACAATGCAATAAATGAAAATCTGGAAAAAATTAAGAATTTGCATTCGATTATGAAGACTAAAATTGATGTAATTCAAAAACTGAAGGAACAGTTTCTTGATCATGACAGAAATTATATAAACATACTAAATAGTAGAGAAGATCGATTAAAAACTGATATAAATGAGAGGATTGAGAAGCTTAAGGAAGTAATAGTTGAATATCAATTGTTATTGAAGGACGAAATTGAAAAATTAAAAAATTGAATTATATTAAAAGATAGAAAAAAATGAGTAAAAGAGATATTGTGAATGAATTACATAAACCGGCCAGAAAAAATTTTAAGAGAAGATGTGTTGTATTAAAAGGTTTAAATGATTTGTTTCAAGCAGATCTGGTTGAAATGAATGAATATGCTACAGTTAATAAAGACTATAAATATTTATTGACTGTAATAGATTGTTTTTCCAAATATGCCTGGGCTATTCCCGTTAAAAATAAAACAGGTGAAAAGGTTACGGAAGCAATGAGACAGGTGTTGAAAGATGGGAGAATACCAAAAAATTTACAAACTGATAATGGTAAAGAATTTTATAATAAGTCTTTCCTTAACTTGATGAAAAATTATAACATTAATTTATATTCAACGTTTTCACCTTTGAAAGCTTCAATTATAGAACGATTTAATAGAACTATAAAAAATAAAATGTTCAAGGAATTCAGTATGAATGGCAATTACAATTGGATAAACATAATTCAGTCACTTATACATGACTACAATAATACAAAACATAGAACAATAAATATGAAACCACAAGATGTTAATAAAAACAATGAAAAAAAATTGTTAAAAACCGTATACAGCAACATAAAACAACAAGGTTCAATAAAGTATAATGTTGGCGATTTTGTTCGTATAAGCAAATACAAACACATATTTGAAAAGGGTTATACACCTAATTGGACAACTGAAATATTTAAAGTAAAAAAAATTCAAAATACTAATCCAACCACATATATATTGGAAGATACTGAAGGGAACGAAATACGAGGAGGTTTTTATGAATTAGAATTAAGTTTAGTGAATCATCCAGACATTTATTTGGTTGAAAAAATTTTAAAAAGAAAAGGCAATAATGTATATGTTAAGTGGTTAGGTTTTCCTAACACAAAAAATTCATGGATTAATAGAAATGAGCTTGTAAAATAAAAATTGAAGTTTTTTGTATTTATTATAAAACCACTGAATATATAATTTTTTCAGTCTTAGCTATACAACTAGAGAACGCGTGTTTAAAAGTTAAAAACTTAAAAAATTCATTTTCAAAATAAAAAAACAAAAATAAAAAAAAATGCAAAACTACACAGAACAAGTAATTAGTGCAGAGAAATCCAAACTTTTTGAGATGCAAAATGAGGGTGTGTCTATCAACTTTATCGAAGCATCAATCAAATCATGTGAAGATCGAGTGAATCAAATTTCCGACTTCCTTCTCTTGGCAACATCAACGGGGGAAAAGCATCATTTGATGGCAACATTATGTCAGCTTAAATCCATTCTACAGTATATGAATGGATTTAGATCGATGTTTATGAGAAGAGGAGTAACAGGAAGCGGTCTCAATCAACAACCAACATCAGCATCAGCATCAACATCAGCATCAACATCAGCATCAACATCAGCATCAACATCAGCACCAACATCAACATCAAATTATACTGTTGTATGGGAAGAACTACCGATCAAAGCTTTTGCAGGTAGAATCAAATCATATATAATTACCAATATTCAACACATTGATCCAAAGGATTTTTTAATTGATTGTAAGAAACTTTTACTTAGAAATTTACCATACATACTACAACAATATCAACATATAAAAATGAATGTAGTATTTACTGGTGAATTTAAGAAAGTTAATGGAAATGATTCGGATACTTCTATTAATAACACTATAGAAGAAATTAAATACTTTGTTACCAAAAATGTGGTAATATCTGAACATGAATGCGATGAAGAAGATTTAGATGAAAAAATATCAAAAAATATTGTGCAAGTTTTATTAAGAAAGCTGGAAGAATTTCAAGAGCGGGACAGCGGTTGGACTTTGTCTGCAATAATTAACATAATAATAAACATTAATAAATTATTCTTAATAGTTGGCAGTGCTTATATACCAACTCCAGCAGAATTAATTGGCAAGCATGCTATTATAAATGTTCAAAATAAGGACGATGCTTGCTTTGCTTGGGCTATTATGTCAGCATTATATCCTCAAAAATATCATTCATGTCTACCCACTAGTTATCCCGATTATAAAGAAAAGTTAAATTTACAAAATTTAACATTTCCAATATCATTGAAGCAAATACCTATATTTGAAAAAAACAACAATTTATCCATTAATGTATATTGTTTTCACAACCCAAAAAATGATAACAACTACATTAATTATTATGATTTTGATGAAGATGATGTTAATACAAACAAAAGAAGAAAGGTGTTACCATTAAGAATATCCAAGTATATTCACCAAGATCGCAGACATATCAATTTGCTTCTACTGGAAGAGATACAGGAGGATGATAATGATAACAATGAAAATGATAAAGTTGTTATTCAGCAACATTATGTATACATAAAGGATTTGTCTAAACTGTTAAGTAGTTCCATCAATTCTAATGGGCATAAAAAACACTTTTGCAACAGATGTCTTCACTACTTTAAAAGTAAAGAAAAATTGATGAAACATTCAGAAAACTGCTATAATCAAAATATGGGTAAGATTGTTTTACCAGATAATAAAAATAGTATACTTAGCTTTAAGAATTATAAAAATAAGTTGATGGTACCATTTGTAATATATGCAGATATAGAATGCATATTAGAACCCATTGGCAATGAAAATAGTGAAAATAGTGAAATTAATAATAGTTGTTATCAGGAACATATACCATGTTCCATTGGCTTTTATATAAAAACATCTTTTCCATCGAGTTATAATGTTTATAATAGTTATCGAGGGGAAGATTGTATTAAATGGTTTATGAATGAATTAGATCTGATAGCAACTTTAATATCATCTGATATTGTATCACCCGTCAAAATGAATTTGACGAGTGATGATCATTTTAATTTCATTCAAGCCCGTACTTGTCACATTTGTGAACAAGAGTTTGTTAATGATGATAAAAATAATTATAAAGTCAGAGATCACTGTCACTTTACTGGACAGTACAGAGGGGCTGCACATAATATGTGCAATTTGAGATATGTGGATGATTTGTGTATACCAATAATTTTTCATAATTTATCGTCCTATGATTCTCACTTTCTGATAAAAGAAATTGTTGATCTTTCTAATAGAATATCTGTAGTACCAAAAAACAAAGAAAAATATACGGCATTTACGGTATTAGTCAACAATTGTAAAATAAAATATAAGTTCATAGACTCTTTCAAATTTTTAAACAGTAGTTTAGAACATTTAACTTCTATTTCTAGTAATTTTCCAATTCTTGAAAGAGAATTTAAAAATTATGAACACAAAAATTTAGACTTATTAAAACGAAAGGGCGTCTATCCTTACGATTATATAAGTAATTTTGATAAGTTTTTCGAGGAAAAGTTACCCGAAAAACATTGTTTTTATAATAAATTAAATAAAAGCAACATAAGTGACAACGATTATCTTCATGCCCAGAATGTATGGAGAGAATTTGAAATAAGAAACTTGGGTGATTATTCTGATCTTTATTTAAAAACAGATGTTCTACTTTTAGCTGATATTTTTGAGAATTTTAGAGTTAGTTCTTTAAATACTCATAAACTAGACCCCGCTCACTATATAACAATTCCTTCCTATACGTGGGATGCGATGCTGAAATTTACAAATGTCAAATTAGAATTATTGACTGATATTGATATGTTACTATTTATTGAGCGGGGTATTAGAGGTGGCTTGACACAAGTTAGTAAAAGACATTCAATCGCAAATAATCCATATTTACCTGAATATGATTCATCTGTTCCTAATAAATACTTAATGTATTGGGATATCAATAATCAATATGGTTATGCAATGTCTCAATTTTTACCAACAGGTAATTTTAAATGGGTAAAAGATATTAAGATTTTTACGGAAAATTTCATTACTTCAATTCAAGATGACTCACCTACAGGTTACTTTTTTGAAGTAGATTTACAATATCCTAAAGAACTACATGATCTACATTCAGATATTCCATTCTGTTGTCAGTCCATGACAATAAATAATTCTAATCAAAAGAAATTACTTGCTACCCTTTATGACAAAGAAAAATATGTAATTCATTATAGAGCATTAAAGCAAGCATTATTATTTGGTTTAAAATTAAAGCATATACACGCTGTCCTTGAATTCAGTCAATCACCTTGGCTTAAGCCATATATTGATTTTAATACAAAATTACGAGCTGCATCAACTAATGATTTTGATAGTTCACGTTTTAAACTATATAATAATGGTTGTTATGGAAAATCAATGGAGAATACAAGAAAATATGCTCGAGTAAAACTAGCAACACAATGGGGAGGGCGTTATGGTGCTAAATCATTAATAGCATCACCATATTTTAAAAATTGCACAATCTTCAACGAAAATTTGATAGCGGTTGAATTGAATAATGCCGAAATATACTGCAATAAACCAATTTTCGTTGGAGCAGCAATTTTAGATATTTCAAAAACATTAATTTATGACTTTCATTATAATTACATGAAACCTAAATTTAATAGTAATTGTAACTTACTATATACTGACACAGATAGTTTAATATATGAAATATACTGTGATGACATATATAATCATATAAAAAATGATTGCATCATGCGATTTGATACAAGTGATTATCCAAAAAATAATATTTGGAATATACCATCTGTTAATAAAAAAGTATTAGGAATGATGAAAGATGAACTCAATGGTAAGCTAATGAGTGAATTTGTTGGTTTAAGAGCCAAAATGTATAGTTTGAAGGTAGAACATAAAGAAAAAACCAAAAAAATAAAGGGTGTCAAAAGAGACATAGTCAAAAAAGAAATATGTTTTGATGATTTTTTAAATTCTTTAAATAATAATGTAGACAAATTTGTACAACAGAATTTAATAAAATCTGAAAAACATAATGTTAAGACTATCACCCAATCAAAATTGGCGTTGAATGCATCAGATGATAAGAGATATATTTTATTGAATTCACATGAAACTTTGCCATGGGGTCACTATAGAATTAATAATACATTATTCTAATTATTTTGTAATTTTGTATATTAAATATATTATTTGATAAGAGTAATAAAAACAAATGAATAAAAAATAATGAATAAAAAAAATTTTTTTTAAATCATTATAGGTACCTTATCTGAAAAAAAAGTAAATAAAAAACAAAATACATATATTTTCATATTGTGTGCTTTTTATTATTTAAACAAAATGCATATACATAACACTTATTTAGAATGTTCATGTAGTTGTTTTACAAAACTGTATATTAAGAAAACATTTCTAACGCAATAAGTAAATTCATTATTGTAACTAGCAAAATCTTTTCTAAGCTGTTTTAGATTCGGACATCCATAGTTTTCAATATTAAATACATGTATGACATCAAACAAATCGGAAATCCATTTTGACTTTTCCAAACCTTTTACATAAATTTTTTTATTAATCAACCTTTCTTTTAGATAATCTTGTACTTTAATGAAAGAGCAGCCTTTTTGATTCCAGTTTATTCCATGTAAATTATTTGTCAACCAATTTGCTTGTCGTCTGGAAGTTTCTGACAATAAATTTTTTCTATAAGGCTGCCTTATTATAAAATGATCATATACTCCATCTTCCCATAAAACACACACTTCTTTCAAAATGAGTTTATTTTGGGAATCTTTGAAACCTTGAACATCAATAATTACATAATTATTCATATTTCTTGATTTTAATTAATTTTTCGAACTTCACTGGTCAATGGGTTGTATTGTACTACTCTATCATGAATAAGTAAACAGTATGCTGAGGTAGAAGCTGGAACATTTATAGATGTTTTGAATTCCAATCGTACATCAACCGCTCCCGATTTAAGTGATTCATTTTGATGTGTACAATCTACAACTACAATCGGACCTATTTTGCTTTTAAAATGATCACGTGATATAACTGGACTATTTTCAATAGCTTGGTAATATGATGTTTGAAAATTAGCATACATATGATAAAGAATAGAATATTTATCTTTATCAAATGATATATTTAAATTTTCATATGGATATGTTTCTGCATTTAAATGAACCTTGAAATCTATTAAGTTACAATGATCATATTGAGAAATATTTTTCCCTTTTCTATTTTCTCTATCCGTTTGTAATACAAAAACTATATAACGTGGTTTTTCTAACTGAGATGATGTTTTCACAGACCATATATGATGTGTAGTTTCTGCTAATTTTGGATACTCATATATTTCCCAACTACGAAAACTTATTGATAAGGGTCTGGCATTATCAACAATCTTTAATAATGGTAATTTATTTTCATCGGATGTGATGATGTGAGGTACAATCCATGTTATTTTGAATATGTTTATTAATGGTTTTTCAGTTTCGTCAGTAACAAGATAAACATTTTCATCTGTTCTCGAACGAACTAAAACCAATTCATGCTTGCAATTAACAAGAATTTTCTTATAATCTTCTGCAAAACCAAGTAAAAATTTAAGTGGTATACAAAAATCGAAGAAGCCTGTTGGTGTTATGAAAGTTTCTGAGGGTGACCACCCAGCATTTTTTAGCATATCATTCTTGTTGTTAGATAATGAAATATAATTTTTCAATGTAGCAGTATGCCCCAGTTTTTTAGTTGAATCGATTTCAATTCCATTCAAAAGGTAACGAATTTCTTCAAAAAGATGACAGACACCATTGTTTACAAATTTTATTTTATCGCTTTTTTCACCTGTAGATTTTGTTAGCGATCCTTCAATATGTAAATAACTTTCGCTAGGCAGTACATTCAAATTCTGATGTTGTATTGATATATTTATAATGTCATTATTATTGAATGAATTTAAAAATGGTGAGTATGAATGATATTCACATTTTGATATGCTATTATCAAACTGTGGAGTAGATTTAATATTGAGTATAGGATTCATTTTTTTAATTTAAAACCTAATTTTTTCAAAAATATTTTATTTTCAACAGATAAATTTTTGGAGTTATTATATATCTTTTTGGTTAATGAAGAAGATGATAAAGATGATACTCCTTTTTGATTTTGCTTTGTTGTTGTTGTTATTTCAGCCGTTGTTCTATTGTTAATAACATTTTCCTGTGGAGCACTTGTATTATATATTATCATTGTGTTAATTTTTTTAAATGTAGTCGAAGTGTTATTTTTTCGTCTCTAAAATTTATTAGTTCACCGTCCTGATCAATTAGTTTAACTATTAGAGTACTTAACTCACGAACATTAACTGGTAAATAGATTACATTCTTTGGCACCTCAATTATTTTATAACCTGGACCAACTTCAGGTGAAAATTCATGTATGGTATGAGCTTTGTTGTTATTTATAAAAGAGTTTGTAATAATATTACATTCTATTCGAATTGTGTTTACTTTAATGATATTTACAGACAAATCTGATGTATGTTTATTACCTGGATTTAGTATTTTTGAACTAAAACCAAGAAGTGAACCAATCGAATTTGGTGTATTGAAATAGATTTTTTCATTACTTTTTACTTCACACTTCAGCGTATTGTTATTGGCAATAATGTTTACTGATATCTTTCCACCACTTATTTTCTCAACCTGTCTTCTTAAAAAGTTATTAATGTCTTCAATTTCATATGATCCAATTGGTATTTCGATTTTATGTTCACCAATATGGAATATATTGTTATTAACATCAATATTTGGTATAGAATTATATGTTTGAAAATCAATTAGACCACATACATAATCACCCTTTAATTCGATTGGTGGAAAATAATTAGCTCTAAGAATAGATGAATTACCATTTAAGGTTAATGTTGTTGACATGATTGTTGTTCTTAAAATGATAAATTTACATTATGTATTGCAGTTATTAATTAAAAATATTAAACATAAATGACCACAAATTACGGTATTATAATCTTGATGTGATTCATAATTATATTCTATGTTATTTCCCAAATAATTAATTACTTCAATTGGAGGTTTAAGATTTCCAAAACTATCATAGTATTTAATAATGTTTTCTTTTTTACAATAAGCTACCCAATGTGTACCAGCACCAGAAAATCTATCCAAATTAATAATTCCACATTCATTTTTCCATGGTTTTGTTTTTGGTAATTTGTCTCGCATAAAAACTCCTCTAAAAAATGGTATATTTCTGGCATATTTATATAAGTCATATTCATTTAGTGCACGATTAGGTAAACTTTTTAAAAATTTTGTTGTTTATTTAAATATAAACCCAGTCCTTTCTTGTATGGTTTTAAGTACATTCCATTTCCAACAGCAATATCTTCAATTTTTTTATTATGTCTTTTAGATTCTTCCAATTGTTGTTTAGCAGCTTTTGCAGCACTTATTGATTTAGCAATTTGAGCAGCACCGCCAGATAAAGCACCAACTGCTGAAACCCCGGCAAATAATGGTACCAAAAAAGGTAATATGCCACCAATTTTCGGAACAGATATTACACGCGGTATTTTCAATAATGTAGATGGATTCACAATTTTCTTAGCAGCAATTAAAGCTGTATCTATAACACTTTTGGTATTTTTATTTTTATGTTTTTTTAATGATTTCTTAATGGAACTCATTACTTTTTTAAAATGCATACATTTCGTTTTTTTCTTTTTCTTAACAGTTTTTGATTTTTTCTTTTGTCTTTTCATTTTTGTCAGACCCATACCCAATTTAGTTTTTGCTTTCATAGCTCCAGCAACTAAAAGTGCATTTGTTTTCTCTCCAAAAGATGTGTCTTTAGACCTTACTCGATCCCAAGCTTTTTGCATTAATATTTTATCAGCATTGTGTCTGTCTTTTATATCTTTTGTCTTTGAATATACAATGTCATGATCTTTGCATGCTGAGTCTAACATGTTAATACCTGGATCACCCCTTTCTAATCGTTTTTGTAATTTCGTGCCTGGACCACAATACTGATAACCAGGCAAATGAAGTTCAACAGGTAAGTTATTAATTAGTGAATTAATGAGACCAGCACCAGTCATCTTTTTGGATTTACCTTTCTTTCCCATATTTTAATGAAAACTATACTATATAACATAAATACAAAGGTATATATATTTCATAGTTTTAAAATATGCATTTCGTGAAACATGTTAAATCTTTGCCAATTAATAATTTTGACAAAGAAATCAAGAAAAATAATACATCAATGAGAAAACATAGTGAACTTCTACCTAATACCATAAGATGTTTAATTGTAGGACCCTCAAATTGTGGAAAGACAAACGTGATGATAACACTTTTATTACATGAAAATGGTTTAAAATATGAAAACATTTATGTTTATTCAAAGTCATTGAATCAACCAATATATCAATATCTAAAAATATTAATGAAACCAATAAAAGGTATTGGATACTATACATTTTCTGAAAATGAAGAAGTAATATTACCAAATAAATCTAAAAAAAATTCAATATTTATATTTGATGACATAGCATGTGAAAAACAAAATAATGTTAGAGCATTTTTTAGTATGGGACGACATCATAAAATTGATAGTTTTTGTTTAAGTCAATCATATTCACAAATTCCTAAACATTTAGTGCGCGACAATGCAAACTTTTTAATAATATTCAAACAAGATGAAACAAATTTAAAACATATATATGATGATCATGTTAATACAGATATGACTTTTCAAAAATTTCAACAAATCTGTTCACATTGTTGGGAAGATAATTATGGTTTCTTAACATTAGATAAAGATAGTGGGATTGATGGTGGTAGGTATAGAAAAAATATAGATTGTTTTATAAAAAATATAAATAAAACTGATAGTTGAGAGTATCTAGCTCTATAATTAATTATTCATTCTGCGTAAGCAGTTCACTTTACAAAAATGAGTAAGAAAGCCAAGTCGCCATTCAAAAGCAACAACGACAATGAAAATTTACTTCACAATTTGATAAAAACTCAAAATTCTATTAGAAGAAAATTAAAAATACTTAAAACAGGTGAAACAGATACTGAAATCGAATTGGAGAAAACATTTAAACCTATTGCCGAGCCATTGAAAAAAATTGTAGAAAATATAAAAGTGGAACCAAAATTTTTTGATCTTAAACAAGAAAATAATAGTGATGATCATAATTACAGTAATGTGAAGTATAAGATCAAAAAAGACATAATGACAGAAAAATCATCAACGCCAATACAACAACAAGCACAACAATTTTTAAAAACGGAATATAATGCTGATAGTGATGATGATGATGATGATGATGGTAGTGATGATGATTTTGAATCATTTTCTACTCCAAATAAAACCGCAATTAACAAATCATCATTAGTCTCATCATCATCAAAAAACATAAATTTAATTAAAACATACAACAATGATTTGTTCGAAAACAGAAAAGAAACATCTGATTTTGATAAGTTATATGGTCCATACATTGACAAAAGAACAAACACCATAAAACTGGGTAGTTCTAATTTTGAAATTAATAATAATAATATTTTAATAAACGACAATCAATTCAAAGCAACACCTGGTTTATATGAGCTAATTTTTATGAAAAAGCCTGACAACAAGAAATATTCACTAAATGATGTAAAACAATATAAAAAAATTTTAGAACTAACCAACGTTCATAAAAGAAATTATGATCCATCTGATCAAATTAAGGGTAATCGAAGTCACAAATATATAAATATTATACATAAAATGTTTGATAATAAATATAATACAAGAAAACAATCGCAAAGTGTAAAAGGAAAAGGTATTTCACCATTTATGAAATTAATGAACAGCAATGTTAATTATGTATATTGGAACAATGTTAATGAACTTGTTGACAGACTACGTTTATTAATTTCTTCGCAGGCTGCAGGCAACAATAATCACAACAATGAAATTTTATCTATTATTGAAGAGTTGAGAGAAGAAAATATAATTGTTTAAAAGATTTTATGTTAGTCTATCTATAATCATGTCACAGCACACATTAAACAGTAATATAAAGGAAATTTTCGAATTTATGTTAAAATATGATAAACATATTTTACATGAACATAAAAGAAACATATTACATTATCTAAAAAAGTTAATTGATTATTTTTTTATTGGTTCCAACGTTAGTATAAATGGAACACACTTCACCGATTGTGTATGGTCAGATGATGATGCTGAGTGTGGTCCTGACACATGTCATTGTGTGAGCATCAATTATTTCGAATATAATGAAATTAAAAAGATTATGGAATTATATATATTTTCAAAATTTGAATCAACATAAATCATAAAATATTTACATAAGTTCAAAAATAATAAGTATACATCATCAATGTGGTTTCAACCTCTGAACCGATAATACATATATAAAATAAAATAAGATAAAACATGTTTTGGTGTGAAAAAATTAAAAATAATGCAAAATTTTGTATTTGTGAAGCAGCATGGTCCAATTTTCGTATAGTAAATGCAACAGTGTTGGAAAACTGTGTTATGGATGTATATATTACACCAGAAAATGGAAGTAGAATTCTATTGTTTCGTTTGAAAAATTGTGAAAGTATACCAGAAAGTCTTTTACGACCTGAATTTGAATTTGGTTCCAAAGATCATTTACGAATTGAAGTGTTTGATGGGAATTTATTTATCATTGGCAGTACATATGCAAAAAGTAACTGTCAAACGAAAGAACATTTTCCAATAGATTGTCCTTTTAGCGATCTCGAGGATGTTGAATTTGTTGATAACATTGAAAAGTTGAAATTGAGAAAACAACAAAAACAAAAACAACAAGATAAACCAAATTAAAAACCTATTTATTTTATATTATATTTACCAACTTTTGATTCAATGTCTAAAAACATGCAATATAACATTGTAAGATTTGTAGTCTTAAATACTTAGATTAAAATATATTTAAGATCATTATCAATATTCATTACATACATACTTAGCCTTAAGTTCAATATCAATGTCAATTTCATCAAAATAGAAAAATAAAAACAATTTCCTTATAATAAAAACTTGTATTTTAAATAATTAGATTAAAATATATTTAAGATTATCAATATTCATTATCAATGTCAATTTCATCAAAATAGAAAAATAAAACAATTTCCTTATAATAAAAAATTTGCATTTTAAATTAGTTG